ATAACCTCACCCGCTCGACTAAAATATCATCTTAACTAAAGTCCTCCTTTCCAATCATTCCCTTAGTCAAAAAGTAATATTAACTCGACGTTCTTATTGGTCTTAATAGATTCATTCCTTAAGCTGCCCCTGAATCTCTGCTACGTAACCAATATTATGCCTGTTACGACATTACGTCTCTTTGCAATTGCAAAATTCCATCTCCCCTATCGTTTATCATTTGCCGGATCAGAAACCATGGTTCTCATTTGAACCTCTCCAATGGGAAGACGAGCGGACCAGCTTCCCTTATCCGATTATCTTAATAAAGCATGTTTACCTACCTTGGGTAGATACTGCATGCTATGAACACGGCAACGGTAATAATAAATATACTGCTCTCTTCCACAAGCAATGAGGTAATTAGCTTCAAGCAGGGCGTGGTGGTACCTATCACCGCATACATGGGTACTATCGTAACCAATTTTCGACCGCACAACCATTTTCGAGATATTTTCATCTATAAGGAGGCTTGAGGAATGCTGTATTTCCCAACAGTACGACGGCAGAGCTTGTCAGATGCTGTTCAAAACGTAAGCGTGCGGAGGCCAGCAGGAAATTCATCTTTAATATCTTGCAGAGTTTCCGGGAATCCGCAGGAGACATGCCCCTGAATCCAGGATAATGATCTTGTTATGCTGTCAACACTATGCATAACTGGCTTGAATGGCCCAAACTACCCGAGTGCTTCCGGCTGCCGGACCGGCCTCAGCCTATCACAGCCTATCACATCTCACAAAGATGCAAAACCGCCAGCGAGACAGATTATCCACGTGCCTGTTTGCTTTTTATATTGACCCGTTCCTATTAGCGTTCTAATAGGCGTAGACCGACGCATGCTGACTATTGCAGCTACATACGTCATGACCCCTTAGACATTGGAATAGGACGAGGAAGTTCTTGGGAGCGAAAATGAGACACCCGCGGAGCGTCCCAACCTTCAATGAACAGATGATAGTGGCAAAGGATCCATTGGAGATTACTTACAGCAGCATAGTAGCATGGCATTGAAACTGCCTTCCTACTTGGTACAAGGCTGTATTTTCATGGAATAATACCGATATGTAGTAGCCCTGCACCAATCTGGCGACTTTTCCACCAATATCGTCGCAGGTCATCTGTTACACAAAGTCTACCCTCAAGACTTGTCAGAGGAACTCTTTATAGTTTTCATATTCCGTCGTTGTTGACTAAGGTAAAGATATTGTGACTCGGCTCTATGCTCTTATGTCTCTACAGATGCAAGATGACGCCGAGCTAGACGGATAACTACGAGCAATGCTGCACATTGAATCTCATAGTGAAGTCGGAGAAATATAACTGCCCGTAGGGTATATCAGACCCTCCCGAAATTTTGAAGGGAAATAACTCTAGGCCACGGCCGGCGGAGTTATGTTAGGCAGAGTTGTCTTACGGCCGACATGGTACTTCTAATCAGGGTAGATTCACCGCTCGTCGGAAGGATCGTGAGGTAATGGTGCTCTCGGCAGGCCAAATCTTGGGACCGACTGCTAACAGATCGATTATACGCATTCTAGTGTAACAGTCGGTGAATATGCATAGTACAGACGCAGGCAAGCTAGGCGCCGTCAAGCTACCGAAGATTCCGAGTCAAGCTGACTGCTGCCTAACGCCCAGCTAGAAAGCAGTAGAGCCTCATATATTTGGACCCCAACAAGTAGACATCCGCTTAGACATCCGCTTACACGGCGTACACCGAATCATTGCTGAAGTCTTTTTCTTCCATCAGGGTTATTGCTTATATTTGCTATACTGCGTCTTGTGCTTCTTAGGTCCCACGACAGCCGAGAGGCCCGGTATGCGAGATTACCTGTGTTCGGGGGCCTATAGGGCTTGATAGAGGGTTGGTGCGAGGTAAACACACAACAGCACCCCTCAAACGCCAGCAATAAGTAGTCGTATATCATTAGAATGTTAAAGAGCTTCCCAGCAGAATTACTACGTAGAATAAACGACACCGTGATGAACTAAATGAGATCACTATTTCAATATTGTAGATATCTAAGATAAGTCAACCAGGACTGAAACCGGACCAAAAAGTCTTAAGGCTTTAGGTGAAGAGACCTAGCCTAATACTTAATTAGCAATATATACTGTATAAGTGACATGCGTTGACCTGTAGTTGACTGTGAACGTATATCATTTACCCAGAGCCCTAGTAAGGCCTCTTAAAAGCTCCTCTATTTATGAAACGGCACTGGATGGCCAGCCGAAGAGATATCGCCGATCCAATGAGTTATATACATGCTGCTAGCGGTCTCTGGTTGGGGATAATAAGCACCAAGTAACACCCCTTAGGCTAGGCTAGGTAGCCTTAGGCCACATTGCATATATCAGATCACATTACGACTTAAACACTTAGGAAGTCTTGATACCATAAAAAGCGTATGCATCCTCACTTACTACATGCGTCGTTGATACTACAAACCGACTGCGGAAGTATCAAAACTGCAGCTGCAAGTAGGTAGTTATTGCTATTCTATAAGCAACTGGACGACGGGGAATTATCAAGCATACAATGAGCATAACCTATGTAGCCAAGTGGATAGACGATATAAGGGACGTGCAAACGAATGGATGAACAGAACAGCACTTTATATTATTAAACCGCCAACCTGTTCAAATTTGTGGCCTGCTCATTCCCCTGCCTCAAACCCGACATTACTCTCAAGTTCCTCTTGTAACAATGACCTCTTCCAGTCTACACATATACACCACCCGCCCAAACCGACCAGTCTCTATCCCGCCGAACCCAAACCAGAACGCAATCAACCTCCGCAGATACATCCCAACGTGTCCGTCCACCATATCCTACTTGAGTAAGCATCAATCCATTCCATCCCGAGGGTAGTCAAGTCCAGGAATCCGGAGACAGCCCACAACGGAGTAAAGTAGGAGACACACACAACGACATCACAGAGCGGAGACGGAAACAGAAAAAATCCGAAAACATGCTGGGAATCCAAGGGCAAAGGCTGTTTGTTTGTTTGTTACTTGGCTGGCGATAGCTGAAGAAGTCGGCACCTCAATGTGGTTGGTTCCGGGTTTTGGCATTCAGTAGGTCCGTCCCATCCGCGGTACTGGCCTGAGTCACAGATCTCTCCTGGGATATATGAACGAGTAGCAAGACCCGTTATATTTCCCCCGCAATTGCACTCAAGACAAATCCGCAAGAAAAGCCAGGTAGGTAGTAGTAGTAGTTGTTGTTGTTGTTTGAAAAGCTCCGCTCCAGTCCGGGATGTGATCCTTTCAGAGTCCTCCGTAAGATAGGTATTTTCCCCCGGTTTGTAAGAAATCCTTGAGATGCATGCCTATCTCCGGATAGACCATCTAACGATGTTCTCTTCCTTGCAGTCCTTGGTTCCCCTAAAAGGAAAGTACTGATCGGCCAGGCCTGTACTGTCATGACCAGGCTTTGAGTTGTTTGCTTTGCTGGAGTCCTGCCCGGGAAATGTTTGCTTCCCTTTTTTCTCCACGGTAATCCGTAATCCTCAGCAGATTGTGGGATTGGGACCATGGCCTGCGGGGATCAGCGGGATCGAGCAGTCTCATACTTACCCAATGCATTGGCCAATGGCAGATATCAGAACACATTCCTTCAATTGGTCATGGTTGATGAGATCATGTCACAGGCCATGAACAAGACTTGGGTAGGTAGTAGTCCTCACGTGGTGTAGCTTAGGGAATGAGATCTTACCTCTGCGTCAAGCTGATTTATTTCAGCGATATGTTTTTTGCACTGTAGCCTTGCTCAGGCTAGTGATCCATGGCAGGCTTGCCAATTGTCCATGTCCTGGTCAGAGTCCCAAGATATCCGGATGGTGCTGTGTCCAGTGGAAGTGCAGTCCATGCGGTCATTGTTGAAGCCATGGCCAATCAGTCCGGTGTTCCAGTCTGTATCCTTTATGGTGTCCTCAGGGAATGATCCTTGGAGTTGATAAGCCCAAATGCTTTCCTAGCAAACCTATCGAGTTAGTAGTACATGCACGGCGAGGTAGAAAGTCCATGAAGGTATGCCAGGCATGAAAGTATTTGAAATCTTGGAAGATATCCTTCGCAGGAGTGGTTGGCACATATATATACAATCCGTCCAGTGCTCACCTTGCTGTCCGGACCTCAACCCTATCTATTAGTAAAGTAAAAAAAAGCATTCCCGCATCTCACCATAATGCAACAACATGCGCGCGAAAACGTTGGCCATTTGGGAATTCGCAAACCCGGGAAAAGTATGAAATATAAAGTAAGCCTCCATCGGCTGGATCCGGACAGCAAGTTGGCAGGAGCCGATCCGTAGATAGTAGAAATACTAACCGAGATATAAAAGAGAACTTCTTTTCCCGCCGGCCAAGAGCCTGGTATAAAATGTGTGTGGCAAAAAGCCAACTCCGTACAAAGGCATAGCAGAAACAATGGTCGTCGTTCATTTCAAGTCAATTGAGGCCCACCCATATGCAAATCGTTAACAACGAAGTTCCCCGTTCATAAGTACGCCGTATCCATTCTGGGTCCCTAGGAAGTATTCATGTGCGGGATTGTAATCGTAGTAAAAAGCCGCCCCTTAAACGTAGTAACGTAGATAGTAGTAGTAGCAGTAGTAGTAGTAGTAGATTGCTGATTGGAATCCGGATCTCTCAGGAGGGCAGTTGAGGGGTCCGGGTAGCAACACATTATTTCATAAGTCGCAAACTTTGCAACTATGCAAGACTCTTCAAGGTCTGCAAAATTCATAACCCGGTCTATCCTGTTTTGCATGGCAAAAATCCGGGGAAAAGACCACGACGCGGCTTATTGGACTCCAAATCCTGGGAATCTCGGGCAATGAAACAATTAATCATGGAAGCATCACTGGCAAGACGGTATGTCACGCCGAACACACTCCAGCGGGTTTAATTTCGACCTGGGCGGTGAGACCGGTGAGCGTGCCTGGAATCGGAATGGCGGTCAACACTATCCCTTTCACGATGTCGCGACGACGGTCCACTGCCAGTAAGTTGTGTACTGGATGATGTGGCTGAGTTGCGAGAGGGAGCAGGGGTTGACTCATACTGTGGATCTTGTTGTGCTGGATTGTAGGACGTGCCTGCTGGAGACGCTAAACAATCAGAAACTGGAATAGGGGAGGGTTAAATCAGAAACCACTAGTGTACGCACCGCGTCCGAGGAAAGGGTCTTGAGGCTGCGCGGCTGGGTAGGGCGGGTTTGAGGGCGAAGGGTTCGAAGGGTAATAACCGCCGCCAGACGTCGGAGCCGGGTAACCTTGTGGCATGGGCGGTCCTGAGGTTGCGTAAGTAGTCCTACTAGGCGCTATCGTGGTAATGGGAGTCCTCTGATCCCTGGGATCTACCCTTGAGCCGGCATACGGATCATTATACGGGTTTGGCGCCACTCGCGAGTCCGCTCCAACAAGCTGGAAAGGAGGTTCCTGGCCGGCCTGGCCAAATCCTCCTTGTGAGGGCATCGGAGGATAAGTCACACTTGCAGACGGGGGCTGGAATTGCGATCCCTGGGTAGTATATCCTTGTTGAGTGCTGTACCCACCCTGAGGATATTGCTGGGCCGTGTAGGAGCCAGCGGCTCCCGTGTAGCCTGCGGAACCGGTTCCTGGATATCTGGGTGTAGCATCACCATACGGGTCGCGATTCGGGGTTCCCGCTGCAAATCCGGCTTCAGTCGGTCCATAGTATTGGCGGGACTGATGCGTGTCCGAATTGCGGTACTGGACTATAGGGGAGTTAGAGAGTCTGACATAAGAGCCATTCGAATCTCTCGAGGCAATAGTACCTCCGGCGGCGGCGTTATTACGGCTCGCCGATTGCTGCCGCCTTTCTTGATCCCATCGTGCGGAATCTGCCTTCAGGTCTTCAATCATAGCCTACGGCGAAATTCTTATTAACAAATTGGAACGTCCATATCGCCCATGCGAAAGGTGCTTACCGTCGTTAAGTTACGGTAGGCGTTTATGTAGTAGCCCTGAATGATCTGACCGCTCTGAGGATTCTGCGATGCACGCAATGTCAGCGTCAAGTATGGAAAGGGAAGCAGACCAAGGTGGTGTGATTACCTCGTACGTGCCGGGCCGAACGAGAGCGTCGTTTCCAAGGTAACGACAGATGTCGGCAGTGATAACTTCACGGTCGATGCCATCTCTGGGGACGAAGTACTCATTCTGGCGATTTTGAGGGGGTAAGGCATTGCTGCTGCCGGACGGTGCTGGTCTTCTAGACATAGTAGTCGGAGATGATGGTGGGAGAAAATTACCGGTCGACGAAGATTAGGTAGAAGAGGTAAAAATTAAAATAAGGGGAGGAATGAGTCGACGGTAGAAGACAGCAAACGTAGAGGAATAGTAAAAGAATAAGCGGTCGAGAAGAATGGTAAGAAGGAAGAGAAGTGGGTGGTGGGTAGTGGGGAGGAGAAAAGGCGGCCGACGCTTTCGCTGGTGGGTATTGAATATGGGCCCGCGGCAGAAAAAAAAGTCCTACTGCGAAAGGAGGGGCCTATTAGGGGAAAGTGACAAGGCACAATGGCGACACCAACTTGGCCTGAACAGGGACAGGGATGGTGGCGCGGGCTTGCAGTCCAATCCTTAACGGGTGGCGATGGTGACCCTACAGGGCTTTGCAGGGTCACAAACAGCTTGAAGATTTGCGTCGCGTAGGAATAATACGGTACGCTTGGCGATGGGACAATATGTACTGTAGCACTAGAAGAATAGCACTAAAAGAAACCAGCTCTCGACTTGTTGGGAACTTGGGAACTTGGGAACAGTAACGGTAACTGTTAGAACGCCAGGGAATAGGAGGGAGGGAGGGAGGGAGGGAGAGGGAGAGAGGTAAGCTAGTTATTAGGAGGGTAGCGAATTAGTTGTCAGCTGAGAGGACAAGATGTCTTTCTCCGGACAGGCAACAAGACCAATGAGCTGTCTGTTTTGCGCGGACACAGTGGAGCGGTGTCACTGTACAGAACGGGGCGCGTGGGAGGAAATGGTTGGCGGAGACGATGCCTTATGCCTGTGTATGCCTGTGTATGCCTGTGTATGCCTTATATGTCTTATATGAGAGAAAGTAAGAGTAGATGATAATTAAAATAAATAAAAGTAATAATAATAATAATAATAATAATGATAATAATAAGTAGGTAATATAAAGGCGATATTGAATATTGAATATTGAATAGTATCACAGTAAGAGTAAGAAAGGCACCGTAGGTATGTATTGCAGTGAGGTGGTGAGCTTATAGCCCTCTGATGTTCGAGATGTAGATGAGTTTGACGAGACTCATCCGGTCTCACAACTTGGTGGAAGCGGAAGGGATAGAATCGATCCCCCGGCGGGTGAGAGTTGACGCGCAGCGACGGGTCCAACAAGCTGGGAATGATCTGTTCGTTGCAGCAGAGGGGGGGGCTTTGAACATGGGAAAAGGAATAGTCGCTATCTAATAGTCACTATCTAATAGTCGCTATCCCCAATTCAAAATGTCAATCGGATTCTGGACTAGGTATCCAGGGTAGGGCCCCGAACAGATGTGGCTGATAAACAGGATGGATAGGTTGGATAGGACTGACAGGCCAACCTTCTAAGCTAGGATTTCCGGATGTGAGAGGGATGGATGGCCGGTGCTCGTATGTCTCGCATCTAGGAGGCAACAAACACCCGCACCGCTTCTTTCGATGCAACTTTCGGCAGTGATCGGTCAATCCGTATACAAAAGAATCGCAGACTTGTCCCGTCTAGGTAGCCGCTGACCGATAACTATACTATGTAATCCTGGATCGTAGAAGAAAGTCGACTTGGAGTCTTGGATTATATTTCTCTTTAAAGAAACGAGCTAAACAAGCAAGATTTAACTTGAACGTCGTGGTTCTGACTACTTAATAAAGCCGTCGGTGGAGCAAATTTGTTTGTCGGTGGCCTTTTCTGGGTTGGGCTGCTTTGGCTCATGTAAATCCTTTTTTGGGTTTTGGTTTTGTTTTTGTTTTTGTTTTTGAGGACTTCCTCACTCTCATCGGCTCGTCGAGATCTAAGGATCCGCCCAAAAGAAGACTAAAAACTTTCTTAGAAATCTTTCACGGGCACGAGGCGCCGTCTCTAGACTTCCTATTATACACGCACACGTCCCCTCTCCCTTGGTTTGGATAAAATCCCAACCCACATCAAGAGAGGTTGTTCCATATGTCTTGTGTTCCATCCCTTTGTGGCTCGGTTGACACCCTACCTACCGACTGACATCATTCTCAAATGAAAAGAGGGTACTGTATTATTATGTATATCATGTACGAGAAGGTTTTTGATTTGGGATTAAGCACCGTCCCTCTCTCAACTGAGCCGGCACCGTCGTTTGTGGCCGGAACGTAATCAAGAGCGGCTTCAACATTACTGGCCAAGATACATTAGAACGGGGCCCCGCCACTTTGAAGTGGTCTCATCCCGCACGAAGCGATTAGGCATTTAACACCAAGATGAGCAAAGGACGTGGCACTGTGAACAAAAAAAACAAAAGCAGGCTGGCAGGAGAAAAAAAAAGTCTCGAGATGCCTGTTCTCGCCGTTGGGTATCAATGCACCACCCAATGCACCCGAGCCTAAAAAAGTAGCGGTTGCTGCGTCGTGGGTGCCTAAGGACCAATCAACCAATCAATGCCAGCTTCGGTTTATTCCCTGTGACATGATGACTTGAATGCCAAATACCTATTCCTGTACAGAGGTAAAAAGGACAAGTAGGCTTGTTTACTATTAGGTCGCCTTGCGACATCATTCGCTTCAGATGCTTTAGACGCTTCAGATTGAACACAAATCTCTCTCTCTCTCTCTGCTATGCCTGCGTACCTGTCAAACTGCAGGACGGGTGGCGGCATAAATCCCTTTTCTTTTCTTCGTACCAGGCACTACTACCGCACTACCGTAGGTAGGTAGTATATTCTGCCCTGTTGTACACACACTTTTCTTCTAGAGCCTCCAAAGATTATATGTACATTTGCGTATGTACTAAGAACTCTCTCCCTTATATCGCATGTGATTACTGGGAGACGGCCGGTGGTAGGTGTGCCGTAGCGCTCGTGAGACCGATGAACCGTCACGCCGAGTCCGGTTCATACGATGTACTCGCCCCCCGAACTTGTGCGTTCATTTGAAAGTCGAGTCACTTTAAAATAGCTAAGTCATCAGCGCGAGTCCGAGGGCAGCCCACTAGGCTTGTTCGCACCACCATGGCGCTATAGTGGGTCGTCCAGACCGACATTTCTGTTGGATCTAGATATTTTCTCGGTTCCGTGCCGAGCGCCTGAGTAGGTATTGCCTGCTATATTCAACATGGAACTTTAGCATAAGCCATCAGTGTCCACAACGGAATTCCACATGCGGCGTCAGTTCATATCGCCTAACTTAAGAGATAGGGGAAGTGCATGAGAGTGTGGGCCCCCCCTACTCCGAGGCGGCGTACTCGATACTAGGAGATAAGTTGGTCCCCCGTTAGACACCGTAGACAAAGGGAGAAAAGGCACTTCATATGGACGAATGAGTGGAGTGGGAGTTGACCGGGGAGCATGTAGCGTTCGCTTCAAGTTGAGTAGCATGCTAGGTATCGATTCACCCAAAATTCAATTTCTGCTGCCCGTGCTCGAGCTTACTGTTACCAGAGGCACTGCCTCTCGTAAGCTTCTTAGACGACGAGGACGATGCAGCTGCAGTCTTCTGGCCTTGTGATACCGTGGAATGGTGGCTAGCAAATGTGTGCCTGCCACGTTCTTCCTCCTGGATGTCTTTGGCGAGATGCCAATCGAGGTGGCTCTGTAGGGCCTCGGCGCATTCGAGCCTTGCATCGCATCGTGTACACACCTTAATGTAATCCGTGATTGGATTGGGGGGACTCCCTGATCGGTTCGGCGAAGCCTCTTTCGTCTGAATCTGGGATTTACCCGTACCTACTACTTCTTCTTCAAGATTCCCATCAGCATCTCCACCCAACGAACTCTCCCTCTTAGGAAAGAAACGCCGGATACCGGGATTATCAACCCGTCGTTTCTTCTCCGGCCGTTCATGCACGAATGACTCTGCCGACGCCTCCCGAGAGGCACCTTTTGATTCACGTGCTTCGTCTCCCTTTAACAAGAAGGCACCTATACTTCTATTACCTATAACCCCATCCTCAAATCCTCCCACACTCAGGCTCAGGTTCGTGCAGGGCCAGACCCTACCTTCTTGAATAATTTGGCTTAGCAGATTCTTGGCAAGTTCGAATAAGGTCGTCTCGTCGAGCGTCTTGCCCTGGGGAATGCTACTCTGCCGGGAGCGGGTCTGGCCCCCCTGGCAGTGATGTAGGTTGATCGTCTTCGGCCGCCTCTTATTTTCGAGAACGCCCTCCTCAACCAATCGCGAGAATATGTCGGCTGCAAAGATTCGTAACCACTTGACGGCTTGTTCCTGGTTGTGTATGCTGGGCCGAAAGGATTTAGCGGAGAGCATGGACTTGATCTGCGTGCGCGAGTTAACCTCGCTCGTGTCGATACCGCGAATCGTATTGTAGAGCCAGACCCCCGTGTCGTCACCCAGCCTGAGCTTCATCTGCTCCACCGGTACGAGGAGTAGATCCTCAATGGTCTCCGTATGGAAAGTCGACACGACCTGGTCGCCAAGCTTGCCCCCCAAGTTTCTAATCTTAGTAAATTTCATATCAGATAGGAAATGCCGCACGGCTCGATTCCGTATGACTGTCTGTTGGTTGGGTTTCTTGTAGCCGGAGCCCAACTTACTGAGCATCTTATTACCAGCTATGCCCGCGGAGCATGTATATCCCAGGGTTCGGCGAATCTGAGCGCGTATGTCTCGAACGATCTCCGACCCAATGAGGATAGCTACGTCGTCCCAGTCTGGGTCGTCCGCCTCGGCTTCTGCATCTTCGAGGTCCACGAGGGCATCCGCCTGCCAGTCGAGAGCGGTTACGGGTGGAATAGGCAGCTTCTCCGTGGGATCGTCATATGGGGGAGGATTCGCAAGTTCCGGGAACCTCTGCAGCAGGATAGAGTGGATATGCGCAGATAGATCGAGAAAGACTTCATCTACACTCGCTTTTTCGACCTTCTGCATGTTAGGCGGTAGACTCTCTTTGATTAGTGCGAGAATTTTACGAGACTGAAGCCTATAAGGGTCAAGAGAGACCTTGTGAGTACCGATATGAGACGGTGCATCGTCATGATACGACCACTTCTCGTCTCCTTCCTTCCAGGTAGCAACATGCTGGGCAATGAGTTTTGGGCAGAGTTTCTTTGCATCAGTCACAGTGCAGTGCCGGCCTATGCCAAACTCGCGCGCAGGATAATTGACGGCAATCAGGCCTTGCCTACAGTTTTGTAAGTAAGAAGTGACGGAGCTATGATGAGGGAAGTAATAAACACCATTGTTGAACGGCTAAAGGCTGATCTTCAGCGATGCCGAGACGTACCATCTCGCATTGAGCATAGAAAGCATCTAGATCGATGTGGGCGATGACGCGCAGAGGAGATGATGTTGAGTAAGATGCCAAGAGGCTTAGTTGCCTATACGTAAACTGGGACTTTCGCCGGCCGGTGCCGTGGACCGGAGAAGATGCTTGGAAACGGGGCGAAGACATGGTCGGCAGCTCAGACGGCAATGCAGACGGCAATGCAGACGGCAATGCAGACGAAATACCGGCACGGTTTAAGTCGGGAGAGTGAGTGGCGGGGTACAACAGCTCCGAGAATTCATGGTCGGACAAGGGTCACACAGATTAACCCGGCCAAGACGAAATTCGGCCGGCCCGGTAGTTCGTGAGTGAGAGAGAGAGATGTTCGGATCCCGGAGAAGATGGAGATGATATGTATAAATATGTATAAGTATGGTGACCGGATTTGATGAATAAGGAAAGATTAGCCCCGGGAAAGACGCGTTCATAAGACCGCGTCGTAGAAGGAACCACATAGTGGTATAATAAAAGTGGAGACTTCCAATAGGTTACTACTAATGTACCTGATCTGCTAGTGTAAGTACGTCAGTACATACAACTGTATTCTTTCCCTTTTCCCTCCTTTCTTATATACCTACATACCTCTCTTCTCTCCCTTTCCCACATAAGCCCATAATCCCCTACCATCGTTCCGGTGTTTCTTTTCCCCTCGTCACAATAGAGAGAGCGAATGAAAAGTCGGACAATTATTAGCATCTCAGCATTTTTGATGGGAGTGAACATTTTAATTGGTCTATCATCCATTCACCTTCTTGACCTGCTACCGGTCAAACTCTGTATATATATACCTATATGTACAAATTACCCCCTTTTGAACTCGAGATGACATAAGTAAAATATTCCCAGTTCGAGCATGTCTTTCCGGGAATTCCGTCCCGGGATATCTAAGACGATGTAACTCCAGCGCGAACTTTTCTCGTGTCATGCCATTGTGTCATGGTTATAGGTCTGGTACCCAAATGAGTGAATGGTCAATATCCTCTTCCAGAAGCTCGCTCTTCGCGCCTTACCGCTCCCATCCAATAACTATGCGTTAACCCTATTCTTCGCGCAGGAACACACACCGGAAACGTGTTCCCCCGCAATATACCACACGTACCCTTGTAATAAGTAAGACTTTGCATCCTCAAGTCATATTTAACCTTACCCATCGTTGTGTTGGAGAAGAAGAAGAAGATCCCGCATCGTGCCAATAAACTGTCTTCTCAGCTTGTATGGTCAAGGCGGCAGAAGAACGCGGAACTCTTACAAGAAAAAAAGACGGCACGCTTCCTCTTATGACGACCGTCTAACGGTGATAGACGACGGGCTACTCTGAGGTTCTAGAATTCCCTATATGACTAAGCCTGCAAGGCTGGCCCTAACCACGAGCCTCCAGCGCAAAGTGGTTCGCGACCTTGCCCAAGCCATCGGCATAATAAGCGAGGCAACGGTTTAGATTTTGCAGCCCGGTGGGAATTTGGGTTGCAATATCTTAAGAGGCTTCGGCTTCGTCCGAGCCACGGAGCATTGGGCCGAGCTGAGTCGCTGGCTTTATGCCCACCGATACTGAAAAGAGCAATTGTTCACGATTAATAAGATCAAACACATCCTTCTTGGAGCGCCGTACGTAATAGAGTGAACTAGACGAGTCTCTGTTGCATGGTGGCTGATTGTTAAACTAGTTGAACAGGCTAACTGGTGTACATCGAACAGTCGAGGATCCAATGCTAGAGATGTTCTTGGTTCTACGAGATTTACCTCTTGACGGTTTCTCCGGCTGCAGTAAGGAATTTTTTGAACAGGGGTTAGTTACATCAAGAAGTTCAAATCTATTAGGTGAGTGAAAATTTTTAGATGGTTACTCGACGTAGGACTTTCTTTATCACCTCACTCGAAGACCTCTTAGCACAACCTACGTTGTGAGTGATGGAGATATCAGTATGCTCAGTATCCTCCCACGACCGTCGCCGTCTAACTACTGATAAGTACAGGTATATAATGGAAAGTCGCTACGGCATAGAGTCTACGTCAGCTATAAATCAAGGAAATCCTCCAGCGAAAGCCTCAAGTACATAAACTTTAGGTTATGATATCCCCCATCTTCATCCCCATCTTTGTCCCCCATTTTTGTCTACCAAAATTCCCGTCGGGCGAGTGCCGTGAGGATCATCATCATCATCGGCATTAGTCCTCCACGGTCACCCACCCAGTAGCCCGTAAGATTAATATGTAGCACATATATTTTCCTACTCCTTTGCAGATTCGTTGGAACCCAATTGCCTGCCCGCCGGGTTGCTTACTAGAGAGGCCCCGAGTCGTGACCGGTAAGGCTTAATAGCCATGAGCCGCCCCCTTGCAGTATGGTTTCCGTTTTGTAAGCGCTTTTTAGATAATACCTTCTTCTTCTTCTGTGAAACTCAATCTCAATCCGGATGTATAATCTTACTATAGGGCTTAATTTGTGTTACGTACCTTTGAGTCTAAAGGCTCGAGCAGTTACGTCAGGAGTTGGGGGCAAGGGTAGAACTAATTCGACTCTGGCGTCGATAGACACACTGAACCATCCGCTTGGGTATCATGTCATCAATGAGTGTCTAGTGTTTCGGTATTATTGCACCCTATCCGTAAGTAGCTATCTGGGGTGTTGAGGCTATAAAATAATGTGTCCCTTATGAGGCTTAGAAATCAGATGTCTTGTTTGTGCTGATTACAGTATCTGTTAGACTCCAAACAGCTTTAGTTCTGTTGTCCTCAGAACCCTATCGTGTATTTTTAGGGGAAACTTGGCCAAAGACTATTAGACCTCCCTGCCCACGATCAAGGTGGCTATGGTAATACAGGGGGCGTAGAGACTTCTTTCACGCATGGCATTTCGCCCGGGGAAGCCTTTCCTGGTGATCTGCCAGGGGCTACTGGCAAAATTCTCCATCAGAATGTCCGCGATCGGAAAGTACAATCTGAATCTGGGCGCTATACTTCCTGCTCACGAGATCTTTGACGCATGCGGCTCCGCTCACGCTGTCACGGTTTCACACTTCGATAGAGCCTATATCGATCTTTACGGCGGTGAGTACTCTATGTATCTTTCTTAATCCCTCGCTCCCCTTAGACAACAAGGAATGTGGTAGTTGCCTTGTGCCGCCTGGTCGTCCCGGGGGTCAAAACTTGCATGGAGACTACGAGCTCATGCTGTACTTGCCCTTTTAATCCAGCACATGCTTAGGTTAAATCATTTCGATGCGGTGATATCATGAACCAAGCTACCGGTACCCACTCATAGAGCTTGCTTTCCATATTAACTTGACCTTGATGGAATGACATGAAATTGAACGCGCCGTTCGGCCTCGCCTGTGTTTTCAGCCCATCTTTCTCCATTCCTTCGCCTTGTAACGTGCTCAACGCTGAATGAACCAATGTTCTTATTCGTTAGCAACTAGACTTGAAGCTCTGGGCTTCCTTCCTAAAAGTCTCCTTTATTTTGGCCGGCCGGTTTGCTCCTCCGCTCTTCGGCCTCTCCCTATAATGACTATAGTGGTGACATCTTCCCGCTCTAGTAATCCTTGGAAGTAACTCCGCCTTCATTGCATTTTCGGCGCCTTTACTCAGTATGTCAGGTGTTACAGTGATCCTATCATCGCCTCAGTCGTCACCGAGACGACCTATGTCTCTAGAGGACACCAGATTCGAAGGAAATTGTGTGCTTTCTTGTGAGGCTCTGCGACTTTTCTCAAACAGAAAGTGCCATCTTCAGGTTTCGACTTACGAATACTCGGTATGGTTTGAATTTGCGGCTCGTATGCTGCGAAACTTGTGGTATCATGGTCGTGGCTCTCTTCCTCTATAAGGAGCGTCGAGTTCCAAGGTTGATCAGTCGAGATGGAATGTAGAATCACAGCAAATTCAGCTACTCTCCTCTACAATTAACATTGGAAAGTTATACTACTATCTAGCACTCTCAACTCGTATCTCCCTCTAAGCTTTAACACTTGCTTAAATTGTAACGACACACGCTTCCTTCAACACAATGTAAGAGAATCTATTAACAATCCCAAGACTCCGTCTAACAAACAACATAGGAGCAGCGATAGAACTCCCGACTCCGAAAGTTTTTACTACCCTCCCCCTGACACTGGTCTCCACAAGACGGACGGTAGAATCGAGTGCCATGAGTGCCATGAGACAGACTATTTTGAGCACGATGGCGACCCTAAAAATGCACTATGCAAGCACTGCGGTCACAATAAGTGTACAGACTGCGTAGATCAGTAAACAACAGCACACGTTTTCTATTATGACCACTATAGGAAGATGGACGATAAGTAGCCCCTGAAGAGTACGGGGCTATATTTGGGATTGGAATGGAGGCTGTCACTCGTTTATGAAACCATTGGATCCATGGGCTTCATCTGTGTCGCTTTTACCCTGTTACTGTATTCTGATTAGATTCTTGTTGGAATCGATAGCCAAATGTCCTGTTGGACTATACGATAGAAACCACACTCGTTTATTAATATAGACAAGACCTCGAGGTACTTCATCTTTAATCATATGACCGGCAATTCGGCCTTTTTTTTACGGAAGTCATAATTGTGACTGGTGGCTAGTCAAACTTATGATTTCTCCTTGTCTCTTAGCTCGCATTTCATTGCATTGGTTCTATTTTATTAGGTACCTGTTATTAAGACATAGTCGAGTTAGGAGGTAGTGTGGAAATAGGGGAAGCTGAAAAGGGGAAGTTGTTTCATCCGACCACCACACAAGCCAGGCCATGGTTAATAATTGAGCCTTACCTATTCATTATATTATATATAATCCAAAGCTGCTCCTAGAAGGTAGACATCTATTTCCGACTTCTAATTATATATATGCGTTGATTATAATATCATTAAGCACGCTCGCTAATAAGTACCTAACTTATTCTACCAAAATACCTACCAGGTAGGTTACCAAATATACGCTATGAGCTTGAACCCACCATAAATCTCCCAACTCCAATGCCTAAAAAGGGGGTATCTATTATGCACGCATGTCTAAGCCCTGCTTCCTCTTGCAATCTCTCTCATCTCCAGCCCCGAATCGTCCTTCATCGCGAGGTCGGTGAGGTCGTACCTGGCTAAGAGATCTGTCAGGACGTGGCCCATGGGGTAGAAGCTATCGTGGCCCTCGTGGTTGACGCAAGGCGACTTTCGAAGGGGTAAAATCCAGTCTAAGACGTTGGTACCCATGACACTTTGCCAATTGCGCCATATCCCGATATCCCATGGATTTTCTCCCGGCTCCGTTTTGAGTATAGCAAAAGTGCGAGTGGCCAAGTCGTCGCGAACCGACGGCCGAATCTGCACAGCCGAGCCGCCGCTCTCATTCGTTCCAGGCCGGGCCGTTCCGTTAGACCAGCCGTTCATGGCCTCACCCGGTCTCGGTAGGGGATACGTCACCACGGTGAACTTATCTGTCGGTTCGGTACCGCGGGGCACACGGACGGCTAATTGGTACACCTTGGATTGATATCCGAGAATATCAACATTCGTCATGTTGGAGAAGATGTAACGCATTGACGTTACAGTCATTAGAAAAGTAAAAAGACCAAAGAAAGCAGCCAGTACTATGGCAGGTACGAAATGGGGATCCAATGGAGACCCCTCACTAATTTCTTTTCGAAGACTTGAAGCTGTAGCACCAAGGACAAGGCCGCAATAGCAAGCAGTATACGTCGTGAACTGCACAAAAAACTTGAAGGCTATGGATTATTAGTAAACACCAAGTATTTGGCAGGGGGGCCAGGTATTGAAGCTCACAGTTCTCCCCTATCATGCCGCCAACCCACGGACAGTAGTGGTCCATGCGGTAGACACAACGATCAATTTCGCTGCTATGGTGAACCCGATCTGCTTTCCACGTGGAACATTCCGAGCACCACTTTGGGCGACCGTCATTTTCGCATATGAAGACATCTTTGGTGTAAAATTCCTCTAAGCCTGGACTATCTGGGTTCAGATCGGGGCCGGCGTAGTAGGGTAAGCTCTCGAGGTCAGGTTCCTGACGCCTTCGTCTCCGTCGGTCTCTTGCAGCCTTCTTTCGCTCAATTACCCCCGGTCCGAACGGCACAACTCCCGGATCGAGAAGGACGGTAAATATAGTCCTTATATAGGTACCGACCATCAATAAGAGAAGTATGAAGTATAGAACTAAAATGGCAATGGCTGCCCCGACCTCGCCTCGTTTGCCGATCAGGTAGTTGGCTAGATATTGGCGACGTTAGCAAACAAGCCCATTGATTTAAGAATATTACATGTATCATGCATGGCAGGTAAGGATATAACCTACAGCAGACCCGGCCGACCACGGCATAAGTAGCATAGCTAACGGCGGCGACGAGAATGGCTGGAATTGTACGGGTGATCCAGCGCGTCGCGGCTCGAGTGCTTTCGATAACAGGCATTTCCTACCTCACATCCTGATGGCAATGCGTCTCGAATGTTAGCGGTTGGCAGCGCTGAGTTCGAGAAAGAATAGAAAGGAGAATCGAAAGGAGGTGGTCGGATCCCCGACGAGACGAGGGAACTGCCGTCGTGAGCTCGTTGTTTTGGTTGATTTTTGGGGGGGGGGGGGGGGTGAGTTGCATCAAAATTCAAGATTGAATCGCTAAGATTGCATCGCTAAGATTGAATTGAAGCATGCACATTACACATTAAATGACCCCCACTGAGGGTCATTGACAAGGGTATGCCGCGGGTCATAACTTGCGTGATGCGATGCCTACCTACATAGGTTAGGAGGTACCTACTATTAATAGATCCAAGTTAAGATGTACTAATATTATGTACATAATGCATTGCATTAGTGGTCCGTGCATTATACAACATTGAATGTTTATACATACCTATGTAACTAACCTAGTAGGTTAGGTACGAAATAACTACCTCCTAATCTTAAAATCGAGCTTTCTTAACCTATAGGGGTATCCATGATTTCTTAGGAATATATTCGACAGTGCAGGCAAGTACTCAAGTTCTAGGGTACTAATAAAACAAGAATCCTCCCTATGTAGACTTCCCCAAGGCCCAAGCATGGGTATCACACATTTCATTTATAATGCCCTCTTATGATCAAGCCAGTATATCACTGACCACCAACATGGCAGTTAACACCAACCCAGTCGTGGACACCCGGATACCGGCTGCTGTGCTGTGTTTCGATTCGATATAGCTCACGTTCATAGCCTTGAGCAGAATATCCTGGGTCACTTGCCCGCTTTCGGCAATCTTGTGTAATTCGTCTGTGAATGTCGCCAATATGGTAGTACTTCGCCCTGCCGGACAGAACACGATTTCCCATCCACCTCCGCTAGGGATGATAAACGTGGAGGTCTGATCGTCAAACGCGTAGCTGTATGCGTCAGGGCACATAGCCTTGGCATTATACGAATACTGGCTGGGCTCGCAGATCCATGGGTCGTCATATTCGCCGGTGCAGCAGTCTTCGGGGTCATTATTAGCGGCGCAGGCACTCTTGCACGGGTCAAAAACGGGCCTATGTAGAGTGTCGTCTGGATACGGATATACACCGTCTCCGGGCTTCTCTGGAAGGAAGGCCTGGAGGTCCCAAGGACACCAATTGCTTAAATCCGCGTTGGATTGTATATCTTCGTATGGTATAGGATAGGTCGAGTTAGTATAAGTAAGTCCGGTCTCGCTATAGGCAGCGAGGTACCCGGATGTTCCAATGCAGGAAGGATTGACTAGATTTGGCGGGATGTATGATGTGTTGTCTGCTGGATGATAGACTATTGCTATTGGCAAATTATAACCATCGACAAGTGAAATGTCGTAAAAGGTCTGTCTGCCAGTTGCGCCACCAGCAAGATTGAACTCAGCAAGAGTAACAGGTACAGCACCCTATGTTGTGATTAGTATCTATACTATAGTTGCTCGTTCTGGCTCAACTTACCCCGTACTCGCAATCTAATTTACCAAAACAATCACCAGTCTTACATGTCGCCGTGTCACCACTAGTGGTACAATTGGTACGGCCCCAGACTCTGCCCTGCCATGTAGGACCGACTGTCTGTTCTTTCGTCTCGCCAGGCTTGAGTTCGAAACCGTGGGAGTCTGGAGGGTCTCCATGTTGAGTTCCAATTCCCGGCCATATTGTATCGCCGCAATTGTTGGTAATGATCAAGGGGATTGCATTCTCATACTTGGTCAAAGGACGGCTCGTGCCTAAATATTGTCTGTTGGGTCCCAAATAGTCGAAAGTATATAACTCATGGTTACTTGGATATACAACTGCTCTTACTTGCGGGAGCTGTGATGTTAAAAAGAGACTGGTAATAACCGACAATCTAGTCCTTGTAGAATTATGCCGGCGCTCGCATTGCCGTGACCATTTAGGCATTGTGCTTGCTCGCTTCGCTTCTGTAGGACTTATCTTCTCTGGCTAGATAACTGCGATTGTTCTGTTACATAGGCAAACCAGCGGGCGATGAAGAGTGTATTCTGGGAGTAGAGTATAGCGAAGTAAGCAGCTCATTATCCGATGAAGTCTATCAAAGAATGCAGGGCCTTATTCGCCGATGACAGTAATCGCAGTTATGCTATGAACAAGATAGTACTCAATCGAATTAGGGAACCGACTTTAAATAACGATGACTGCCCTGGCCGTTGGTTATACGGGACCCTGGATATTTACTTGGTGGCGTCGTGCGCTAAACAGGGAACGAGGAATGAATGATAACAAGGTGGCAAATCGTCGTGGTTGATCGAGCAGGCCCCGCGAATATTCCTGTCCTGAATCTTGATATTGGCTCTTGACTCTCAATAGCCAGAATGCTGAAGAGTAAGCAGGGGCAGGATTCGCGGAGAGGAAGAATATGCAGGTATAGGTATATCGGAAGAGCAGAAGCACGGAGGAGTTGATAATAATAATTTATCCTAGAAGTTGCGCAAAGAAATAGGTATGAAATATAGAAACACCCTCAGTACCTCAGGGAGGCTTGTTGATACGGAATGAAGCCATGCTAAATATGTTCGTTGCTTAGAAGATGAAAGAAGAGCAAGAAAGTCAGAGAGGGAGAAGGCCCAATGCAATTGCCTTCGGTGAAGTTGCCATCGAATGTCGCTTGGTAAATTAATGTTGGAGGAATGGGCGATGACGCAGTTGCGACTGGTTACCAAGATTTTGTGCTATTTTCCAGGGGTATGTCCCCCTTGTCCTACCTTCCCCAAGATTTGATTACTTTTATACACATTGGAAGCAACTAGTCCAACCTTGTTATTATCCATCAACCATCAACAGCCAATCACGAGGCTATTTACATGGCACTACAAGTGCCCTGGTATATCAAGACTTACATATAATATTCATATCAAAACTACAATTTTACCATCGCGGCCGCAATATTTGTGTAGGTTCTTAAATTATCTGTATACGGCAATCAGGCATGGAAAGATCTCTCGCTCGTGCAACTATCCATCTGTCCATCTGCCAACCATTCAAATAGCCACCCATGTCGCTGGTTTAAATTTCTAGAAAAGGGATTTCCGTAATTGATGATAGCTCGCCAAGAGAAGAGACCTTTCCTTCCTTTCCATATTGCTAGATCACCTATTAGCCCAAGTGCGCTGTTGCTCTTTCCTTAACGAGGTATCATGTGAAAGCTAGTAAAAGCAACGCAGTAGGCAAAGAACATTAGTAAAAAGGACGCTCAACCACGAAATTCACGTCATCTGCTCATTTCTGCCCTTCTACCTGAATCTAGATCTGCAGCGGCCCATAACCTCTCCTTGACAGACTAATTCAGCACTAAATTCCGAGCCGTCGAGAGTGAGATAGATGTCGAAATAAACTCGGTAAAATGTACCCTGTGGCGTGTCCATACGCTCGAAGTCTTTTTCGAGGTTCTTGCGCGATAGATCGGATGTGAGAGTAACTACTTCCTTTATACCTATATGATATGTAAGCCACGAGTAAAATGGGTCGCGATAAAAGCTAGACAACTTACGGGGATCTTTGGTGTACTCGGGGCAGACATCTTCGTCACAAGCGTACAGGATGTCTTCGTACATGAGCGTAGCACCCGGGGCCACCTGTCGGAAAAATGATACCTTAACTGGTTCGCCGATCTTGACTTTCTGGCCCTTTTGCACAAAAATCTGTCGAGTGAACTTGCATCTGTCCTTGCCGTCTAGAGATGGCACACGATATGCTTCGGGATGGTAGCCCTCCTTGAAGGGCTGCAGAGTTGCCATAAGATAATGGCGACGAGCTACGCGGTGCGTGATAACCCGCTCGGTAATACCTGCGGTGACGGCTCCCTTAACGATGGCGGCAACGGAGTCCATAGGTCGCACAACCTTGGACTGGAACTGGGGAGGGACGTGTAGTTTGATCTGTTGGAAAAGGTATTCGGAAGCGCCAAAACCACCAACGACTAAGATGTTTTGTAGCGTCCTATTTTGGGCTTGGATGGCGATGATTTGGTTTCGTACGAGTTCCAAAATCCGGTTTACGACGGGTTCGAAACATTGAAGAATTTCCTCGTTAGTAAAAGTCATGTAACCTTCTTCGATACCGGCCTCGGGGAATTCGGCCTCAATACCAACATCAACAGCCCACTTCTGGCCGTTATTCCTGAAATCGGCCTTGATTCTGTTCTCAAAATCCATAATACATTTAGCGTACACGCGACCGGCCGTCTTAGATCCGTCTGGTAACTTCATCTTTCGGATCTTAGTGCGTAGAATGTTACTAAAATTCCTGTTGAGGGCAGTAGAACCACAAGAGTCGCCAGAGCCCGCTGTGCATTCTGCGACCGTGAATGGATTCTCATCCTCGACTTCATATGCAATCAAATCAACAGTACCACCACCACAATCGACAATCAAGATAGCGTCGTGAACCTTCAAATTAAGCAAGCCAGTCTTAGCACAGAAAAGTGATGCAGCCTCGGGCTCGCTAACGAGTGTCAACCTGTTGTCGTTCTCGTCCCTGAGAAAGCCGGCCTGGATAGCGGCGGCTCGTGTAGCAGCCTTGCCAGCGTCGTTCCAAATAGCCGGGACGGTCAGGTAGTAGCGAATATTTCGTTCCTCTCGATTGAATACCTCGCCCAATGTCTTCTGTAGCGCCGTGCGCATAGCTTGGCGCAGCTTAAACAGGTAGTCTGCGGCTACATCGATTTCCGACTTTCCGGGCGGTAGTGGCGGAAGGTTAATGGGGTCGATGTAAGTGTTACCTGACAGCATAAGCTGGAGTTTGAACCATTCGACCTTTTGGACACCAGGTTTCGGGTATCCCGTAGGTGCCAGGGCATCAGCAATATCTGGGCCCCATCCAACAACCTTTTGGTATTGGTCGTAGTAAAGAACAGTAGGTATCTTATCGAAGTTAACAAGATTTGATCAGATGGTTATGCTTTTCCTCGGATATCTTACCTTCTGCTTCGTGTACGATCCAGCACCAGGCCATTCTGTAATGATGTCCTCCTTCGCTTCATTATTTGTCGCAAACGCAAAAGCAACGCCAGAGAACGTTGTACCCTGCGTCTCGTATGATTAGTTTCAAAAAAAAAAAAATCGACACAAGCAGGAAATAGAGAATTTGGACAGATCAACGGAGGGGACGTACGAAGTCGATTCCGACGATTAACTGCGCCTTACTTCTACTGTTCCCTTCGACTTCAGCAGCCGGCCTGCCATAGGACTGCATAGCGTTGGTCGGTTGAGGAGCGGGAGCAGGTGGCGGGTAACCAGCGTAACCAGGAGGACCACCAGCAACTCCTGGGGGAGGTTGCGAGCCCGGGGGGACATGCATCTGAGGAGGGTAGCCGGAGACAGGAGCACCGGTGTTGATGGGAGGGGGACCGCCAACCATTTGCGACGGCGGTGTGCGAGCTTGTCCCGTTGTTAAAGGGCTTGTGCGGCCAACAGGAGGTTGAGGACCAGGTTGGAAATTTGCAGTACTATAGCTAGGTGGACGTGGTCCAGCGCCAGGATGGTTCATTATCGGGAGGCTCGTCTGGGAGGACGAAGCTGTTATAGAGGGGGCGGCGGGACCAGGATAAGGATGGGGTTGGGCTTGGGCCTGTGGGAACTGCTGCGCTATTTGCAGTGGAGGGGTTGAGGTCGGGGTCGAGGTCGCAGGCCGCTGCAGGTCAGGCGTACTTGAGGGGATACTGGCGGTGGATTTCCGTTTACCTAATCCTAGGCCTCTAAAACGGGAATTCAGGTTGTTCAATGAATTCATAAGGAATTAGGGAAGCGGAAAGAAGAAGGGAAAAAGGGAAAAAAGAGGGTAGATCAAAGAAGGGTGGGAAGGACTTTGTCGAAGGTGTGATCCGATTGATGTGGGATCACTGGGCTTCTAGGCTGGGTTGTGATAAGGCGGGCTGAGCTGAGCCAAGACGAGGATGCTGACTGAGTTCCCTAAGAAGAAACTGAGCAAGAGAGAGGCGTCGGGTCGCTTCCATACGAAGTGAGTTGCGGCGTCAGAAGAGGGGCTGCTGCTGCTGTTTCTGCGTGCTTGCTGCTTCCAAGGTTGTTGCTTGCTGCTGGTTGTTACTGCCTTACTGCCGGATTGCTTGATATGCTCCTGCTTCGCTTCGCTTCGCTTTACTGTGCTTGTCCAAGTGTAAGTTGTCCAAGTGTAAGGTACCTAGAAGTAGGAATAATCCCTTATTCCCCGTTCTGTCCCTTTAGGTTTAACCTTAGGTAGGTGGACTAAGCTAAAGTAATAACCGAGTATGCGTACCACAGGACGTTTGGGAAGGGAGAGAAAAAGTACCAAGGCCTAAAGATGTACCTGAACACTAAAGGTACGAGTTACAAGTACAGTTCTGTTAGAAGCGAAGTCCTTGATTGCCTTTAGTGCTGTGTGTAGGTATGTGCAATTCCTTAAACCTAGGACTTGGATTAATAAAGAAAGGCGGGCAGGCGGGCAGGCGGGCGGGTAGGTGGGATAGGCCTGAATGGGGCCAGTAGGTAAGAAAATAGTAGAAAACAGTAGTTAGTGGAACACTATTATCGCGGAGGATCAATCAGATCAATCAGATCAGTTAGATCAATTAAAACTTCAGTGTTGCGACCCTGTTCCTTGTTCGTTCTTTTTTTTTTTTTCTCTCTTTCGATTCCACTGTGGCTGATGGAGCTGACCGCGTTAGGTTGGGTTAATTGGGTTGATTGGGTTTGCGGGCTGCAGTTTAGCGATTAGCGGTTAGGGTCCTTTTTCGGGGAAGGAAATCCAGGATAATAAGGCTGAAGCGAATTCTTAACAACCTGCAAAGGGAGTCGAAAAAACAAAAAAGTCCTAGATTTGAGGAGGGGAACCTGTAGGTGGGTACCTAGGCGGTAGGCGGTAGGCTGTAGGCTGTACATAGGTTGTAAGCAGGTGGGTAGGAGAAA